CCAGAACATGGTTTTCCACCATGGGCAGGTGCAGGGTTGGTACATGTACGAGTTCTCTCCTGTGTTCCCGATCCACCACAGGTCTTACTACAAGTGGACCAGGTTGAGTAGGCACTCCATCCACCATCAACTAGATTAGAGTAGAAGAAAAAATATAATCGATCTCATCAGTTAATCATTATTGATAACATCAACATCATCATCCCCATCAATACATCATCATTATTTTTATCATCATCATTATCGTCATCTTCATCGTACATTATCATCATCATCATTGATATCATCAGCTCATCACCATCATAATTATCATCATCTTATCACCTTCATTGACATCATGCATCATCTTAGCTGCATTAATATTATGCATCATCCTTATCATCATCATCACATTACCATCATCACCAGGTCATCATCATCATCATCATCATAGATAGATAGATAGATAGATAGATAGATAGATAACTATGTTTAACGTCAATTCGTACAATGTGCCAAAGACTCCTTATAAACACATTCAAGCTGATATGAAGTCTAATATAAAAATATATGAATACGAATATTATGCACTATAGATACAAGGTAGATATCTAAGGTATATTGATATTATGTAAATAAATAATTTATTCATAGTGAATATGTAAAGGTGTGAAAAAGATATGTTGGATATAAACACCACACACATCCACCACGAATGCACAGGACTCCCATACAGCCACCACATCATCATCATTATTACCCTCCTTCTCCTCCTCCTCCTCCTCCTCATCATCGCCACCACCACCGTCATGTTTTACCTCATCACTACCATCAGCCATTTTACACAAACAGGAAAATTGAAGAACATTAAAAAATGAATATCGATCTTAGAGTTCATCAGTAATCAGGAAAGATAAGAAGAGATAACTAGCCAAAAACTAGTATGAGCTGCGTCGGTGTTTCTAATGAAACAGAATGATAAAAGGGTAAATTATACATCGTGAAAAGATGAAAAAACTTGCTAACGTTTCGGACGCTAGCCCTAGTTTGCTAATCAGCAAACGGAACTAGCATATAGTATTATAACGGAAATTTTCAAAGAAAAAAATATCACAATACCTGGACATGGCTTAGCAGCTGAGCAAGGCTTGGTTTCTGTTGATATTTTAATCTTCACGTTGTACGATGGACAATTGGGACGAGTGTCTTTGGAAAGTATGAGCTTATGTTGGACACCTTCGCCGCACTTTTTTGCACTACATTCGGTCCAATCTAAAACAAAAACAAAAAATTGCTAATGTTTATAATATATATGGGAAATAACACGCGGACTGATTGACTAGCTATTTCATTGTGAATATACGACCGCCAATAATGTATATAGCTCTTTTGCATGGCAGTACAGAGACACCCGCGCTTCAAAATTGCTGATAAGGGGGCTTTCAATTATTAGGGAATGGTGGTGGGGTCGGAAAAATCGTTGGGGGGTTAAGTTGTTTTGAGAAAGTAGTTAGGGGGCTACCACATATTAAGGGGGCTTGGGAACTATTGCAGGATGATGAAGGCGAGAGGGGGGGGGGGGATCGTTGCCTCTACCATGGATGGGGTTCGTCATGTTTGTAAAGCTTTTTATGTGATTTAGACAACCCCCTCTCCCCCTATGTGCTAATAAATAAAAGCCCCGCTCTAAACAGTATTTGACAGGTGAATCTAGTTGCAGCATAGTTAATGGAGCGGAATGGTTGGGAAACCTATTGTTCTAGGTTTTTGTTCGACTTTATCCATTGTTATATGACGTTGACCCTGAGAAGGAAACGTTGCTCCGTACGTTTGTTCATAGTATTCGGAAATATAGAAGTTTTTAACCCTAAAAAACGTTCTAAAATACTTGTTATTTGTTAATTAATCCTATATGATTAATACAAATTGTTTATTGAAAAGGAAATTGCCCTTTTTAATGCTTTCTTATTTATCATCTAGTAGCTTAACTGTATCTGCGCGGAAATATTTATTCGCATGGTTTATGGTCATCGAATGAAATCAAAATGTTCATACATGAAAATAATAAGGAAATGAGTATTTTCAGCCATACTTGCTTTGGTACATTGTGCAGGGTCAGTATCACGTGATCGTACGGTTCAACATCAAACGCAAAACACTAGCTTTATTCTATAGAGATTTCAAACCATTCCACTCCATTAACTATGTCCCGAGCTAAAGTATTTTATATCATTTAATCATAATCCTAGTTAAAGCTGAGAACTATATTACTACAGTAGATATTTACCATCTTTTCGGTGGTACATGAAGTTAGACCAGTGAGTTCCAATGCCATATTCGCCTTGGACTTTACAGTTGTCCTTGCAGCCATGCTTGTCGTACGTCTTATGAGCTTGTTTGGATCCCCAGCATTCTTTAAAGTACTGAACACCAAAGTAATCATAACCTTGTTTCTCGGCTTCTTTTCTGCATTCTTCGAAGATGTGTTTATAGTCACTGGATGCTACACTTTTGAAGTAATGAGGCATTGCTCGGTCGCGGTCATCTGCGTAGCAACCAAGCGGCTCCCACTCTGTACAAGCGGAAAAAAGTGATCTGTTAAAGGGGCACTTGGATGAAAATCAATGAAAATTGTAAATGACTTGAAATTTGGTAAAATTTATCTATATGGCCCAGATAGTAGCAAAGCAACATGTTTTCCTTCACAGTCAAAAGTGGTGGATAAAATCATTAATTCTATTCAGCATCTAAATTGTGAGTAAATGACGTCATTTACTCAACCCTATTGTTCTTTTCACTTTTAAACCAGAATTTCTCATCTGCAAGTGGCTCCCAGGCTAAAATCTTCACTAATCATGTTTACATAGTCATAATTGAGTCATATTATCCTCAAGTACCTTAAATTATTTGGATTTTCAAAAATTGGGGCGTTTTCATTCAAGTGCCCCTTTAAGCAAAGTATGTCTTGAAATGAAATACAGAAGGACAAACAAACGCATTAAACACGTTAATAAGACCCGTATAATGTTAGAGAGAGAGAGAGAGAGAGAGAGAGAGAGAGAGAGAGAGAGATAAAGACACCACGAAACAAGTAAGCTTACCAGCTGCATTGGCGGCATGCACTGCTACAAGAACAACCAATACGACCCACATCTTATGTTGGACCATCATGATAGAGTATAGACAGCCAAAGTAACTAAATGGAACAAGGAAAGTATGGAATATCAGTTGATCATAGATTAATATCAAATAAAAAATGAAAAGATGAATTAACGAGCTTTTAAGATATATTTACTGACTAAGCACGCATACCATTATGGGGAGCTCAAGTGCAGGTACACTTACACCATCAACTGAAATTAAAGCTAGACAAGCTAGGGAATTCCAGTCCAGCTTTTTCTTGCTATAGTTTCCGCCCTAAAATTTTCTTTCCTGCCTCTTTTTTTCAGGAACGACTATGTGATTTACTTTCTCGCTATATTTTTTTTCCGTTTTAAAACTTTACGAATAATCTACTAAGTACTTCGATGACATAAAACCGATTGTGTAGCACTTGCGGGTGTGGTTGTTTTTTTCACTAAAGATGTTCTCGCAGTAAGATAATTCCTCGACTATGGGTTCAAGTGTTCAAAAAAACTTGGGTACCAAACCGTAGTTGATTTTTTTTAACTGGGCGGGAAACTAGAAATCAGTAGAATAAACTATAGAGATAAACATACGTTCAACAAAATCTTCGAAGATCGATGATCACAACTTACCTATGCTCCGTGCGTTGCAAGGTGATGGCTCCGTATACAACGGCTATTTATTCCTGTATTTATAGTCACTATAAAAATAATTACGTCAAATGTGTCACTCATATGACATTGCAGGGTGTCTTCCTTCTTTGTTCAAGTTATTAACGCTATTTATTAATATGTTTTCAGCTGATAATGATTTTAAGCCTGAAATATCTTGGCATTTTGATTTTACAAGTACTATACTGCTGGCATTGATCTCGTAATCTTTGACTTGTTGTAATAGAAGTGAAAAATAAGAGCTCGCACATTTACGAATTTCGTTCTTGTTTCTCATTTCTTAATTAGTGCAGTTGGAAGTGAAATTAAAAAGTCACGCTATTTTAATTATTAGTTACCGTTATTAGCCATCAAACGCAATTTTCATTCTTGGTAGATCCTACCGTTGCATGGATAGTGATAGTATTTCAGATAGTATCTAAGAAGAAGAAGAAGAAGAAGAA